CGAGTTAGACAGAAGTCCCAACCAATGCTCCCTCTAAGCTGTGGAGTCTTGTGAGCAAACATTCTACTTTGCGAGCTGCTGGCATTAAAGTTGTGAGCGAGCGATTTGGCTGCTGCACAAGTCGGTCTGCTCGGGAGCCCTACTTCCCGAGCGAAGACAAAAATGTGTGAGCCGGAGGCTAAGAAACTGTGAGCTGGCTCACACTAACTCGGCTTAGAGGGAACACTGGCAGCTCTTGATACAGTCTAGGTATCCCTGCACTAGTGAAACTTTTGTCTCCATCCTTGTTCAAGTCACTATATGGCAAGGTCAGGATCTGCGATACAGGGCTATTTTTGGGCAGGAGCACACAAGGTTGGCAACCCTAGAGGGGGCCAGCGGAAGAAAGTCAGCTGAGCGGAGGAAGCACTATATGCTCCCGAGATGTAGAGGTCAATGTTCCCTCTAAGCTGTAGAGTCTTGTGAGCAAAAATTCTACTTTGTGAGTGACTGGTGTAAAAGTTGTAAGCGAGCGATTTGACTACTGCATGCATTAGTTTGCTCTGGAAGCCCTCCTTCCTGAGCTAAGACAAAAATGTGTGAGCCAGAGGCTAAAAAACTGTGAGCTGGCTCACACTAACTCGGCTTAAAGGGAACACTGGTCCCAGCTCTTGATACAGTCTAGGTGTCCCTGCACTAGTGAAACTTCTATCTCCATCCTTGTTCAAGTCACTGTATGGCAAGGTCAGGATCTGCGACGCATGCGAAACGGAGCAAGGACCGTTTTCTCCAGTGTGCAGATTCAGCAAGTGTTGGAATCTTTTGTTGTTGTTGTTGCAAACGCACGTGAAGGTCTGACTCACCTCTTGCTTGCAGCGCAGATGAGACGATTGCTGCAGCCCCATTGCGTGTAGGGTTTGATCCCTCCTGTGGGTTTGACCCACAGGTCTCCTATTGAAGTTGATAAGCTTCGACAGGGCAGAAGCCTAAGGTGGCGGGGGAATGGCCCACTCTTTACCACCCGCATTTCACTCCAGTTATCTGTGGAGGGCTCTGGCTCGCCTGTCCTTGGAAGCTAAGCAGGGTCGGCCCTGGTTCGGACTTGGGTGGGAGACCGCCAAGGAAGCCCAGCAGACGATGGCAAGCCACCTCTCTTCATCTCCAGCCCTGAAAATTCTTTGGGGTCAGCAGGAGTCAGCTGTGACTCAATGGCATGGTCCACCACTAAAATGTATGACTGAGGGGACAAGCACACCCCAACTGAACAGTTGTGTCGTGTCATTGCTACGTCCAGGAATCCTGCCAGGGAAAGGGTTGGTGGCACTTCCAGTTGGGGAACGACAGTCATGTGTTTGGAGAAGTCAAGAGCCCTGGCTTTTCTAGTGTCCTGGCCCTGCTGGTGGACCTCCTCATGGCACCTGGTTTTTGGGCATTGTGTGACACAGAGCGTTGGACTGGGTGGGCCACTGGCCTGATCCAACATGGCTTCTCTTATGTTCTTTTGTCCGGGGCAGTGATGCTCTGTAATACTTGTGCTTGGGGAGCCACAGTGCTTCTGGAGTTCTGGCCCCGCTGGTGGACCTCCTGATGGCCCCTGGGTTTTGGCCACTGTGTGACACAGAGTGTTGGACTGGGTGGGCCACTGGCCTGATCCAACATGGCTTCTCTTATGTTCTTATGTCCGGGGCAGTGATGCTCTGTAATACTTGTGCTTGGGGAGCCACAGTGGGAGGGCTTCTGGAGTTTTGGCCCCGCTGGTGGACCTCCTGGTGGCCACTGGGTTTTGGCCACTGTGTGGCACAGAGTGTTGGACTGGGTGGGCCACTGGTCTGATCCAACATGGCTTCTCTTATGTCCAGGGCAGTGATGCTCTGTAATACTTGTGCTTGGGGAGCCACAGTGGGAGGGCTTCTGGAGTTCTGGCCCCACTGGTGGACCTCCTGGTGGCCCCTGGGTTTTGGCCACTGTGTGGCACAGAGTGTTGGACTGGATGGGTCATTGGCCTGATCCAACATGGCTTCTCTTATGTTCTTATCAGTTTCTCCTCAATTGCCTTCCAGATGACTGGACAGCCGAGAGAACCTCTAAGAGGTACCAGCTGGGAGATGCCATGCACGTGCAGGCGGACGTGAACACGGTCAACCACGTGGCTCTGAGGCTCTTTGTCGACCACTGTGTTGCCACCCTGAGTCCGAACAGAGAAACCTCTCCCAGATACTCAATTATCAACTTCCACGGGTAAGAACATCTCTGGGATTTTTGAGATGCTTCCGAAGTTGTCTCTTTAAACGACCCAAATAATCCCCTGCAAGGTTGCTGACTCTTGCTTTTGGGTCCAGGTGCCTGGTGGATGGGAGATCGGAGGACTCCAGTTCCGCCTTTGTGTCTCCCAGGACCAGACCGGACTCTCTCCGGTTCACAGTCGATGCCTTTAGGTTTGCCCAGGAACAGGGAGACCTGGTAAGTCACTGGCCGATGTGCTGAAGATTTTTTTCCCCTGCCTAAATTGACAGTCACTTTTCCCGGCATGTATTTATTCGCTTCATTTATACCCCACCTCTCTCCCCAGTGTGGGGCCCAAAAGTGCCTTAGATCGTTCTCCATTTCATCCTCACGGCAATCCTGTGAGGTAGGTTAGGCTGAGTGTGTGTGACTGGCCCGAGGTCACCCAGCGAGCTTTTGCAGCGGAGTGGGGATTTGAACCTGGGTTTCGCAGCTCCTTGTCTGACACTCTAACCATTACACCAACAAAACAGAAACCGCAAACTGAGCTGAAACGAAACGTGAGCTTTTAAACATGATACATTAAGTGGTGTAGAAACTACCTCTTCTGGGGCGTACCTGCAGGGATAGGCAGCAATAAAGTAGTATGTGTAAATACAGAGGAAAGGCTAGGTGGTGTCTGGGCCAGGTAGGCTCTTGTTCTCTGATTTGGCATATTCTCTGATATCTCATAAATTGTAGAATTGGAGTTGTCAACTCTGAGTTAGGAAATTCCTGGAGACCTGTGGGACTGAGGCCAGGGATTGGGGAGGGGAAGGAACTCGGGTGGTGTCCTGCCATACAGGGGTTATTTTGTAGAAAAGGAGGTGCAGGAGCTCATTAGCATAACTCATTTGCATATGCCACACCCCCTGACATCACCAGAAGTGTGTCAGAAGACAACACCCACCGCTCAGGCTTCACTGGACTGTTTTGGATTGCTAGCTATGGTGGGGAATGCGCAGATCTGCCCTCACAGAGGAGGGAGAGCTTGTACCTGAATAAAACATGGCCTTAAAGGTGCCACTGGACTTTTTGGGATTGCTAGCTAGGGGGGAACGCACAGATCTGCCCTCACACAGATCTGTGCAGAGAGCGGAAGGGGGGAGAGAGAGAGAGAGAGGAAGGGACAGAAATAAGGCGGGAGAGAAGGAAAGAAGGAAGGAAAGAAAGAAAGAAAAAGAAGGAAAGAAAGAGGGAGAGAAGGAGCAGGGGGCAGGGCTTGTTGCATGTGCCCGCCCCCTGGGCTCTTTACTGCCAGAGCTCCGCTCCTGTGCGCTCCTGCAGGAAATGACCCCTGATGCCATAGAGTCAATCTTCCAAAGCGGCCATTTTCTCCAGTGGGACTGCGGTCTGGAGCCCAGTTGTCAATTCCAGGAGATCTCTAGGACCCACCTGGAGGTTGGCCAGCCCTATGTGGAATTGATCTCAGTTGGGCGGAGAGCCGGTTTGGTGTAGTGGTTAGGAGTGCAGACTCTAATCTGGGAGAACCGGGTTTGATTCCCCACTCCTCCACATGCAGCTGCTGGTGTGGCCTTGGGTCAGTCACAAGTTTTTTCAGAGC